TCATATTGACACCTGGAAAATTCTGGAGGGATTAGTCCCAAATCTGCACACCGAAATTATTCCCTACAATAGGGAAATACTTCCAATGTAAAGCAGGGGCGCTATAAATACACTAAGAGATAACTCGAACAGGGTAGAGAAGCCAAGACTTTCAGTAATATACCTCCATACAGCGAGGAGAAGGCTGGAGGCAGTGGAGATGTCATGTCTGAGGGCAATGTGTGGTGTGAATATAATGCAGAGAATTCGTAGTTTGGAAGTTAGGAGGAGGTGCGGGATTGCCAAAACTGTTGTCCAGAGGGCTGAGGAAGGGTTGAGGTGGTTCGGACATGTAGAGAGAATGGAGCGAAACAGAGTGACTTCAAGAGTGTATCAGTCTGTAGTGGAAGGAAAGCGGGGTAGGGGTCGGCCTATGAAAGGTTGGAGGGAGGGGGTAAAGGAGGTTTTGTGTGCGAGGGGCTTGGACTTCCAGCAGGCATGCGTGAGCGTGTTTGTTAGGAGTGAATGGAGACAAATGGTTTTTAATACTTGACGTGCTGTTGGAGTGTGAGCAAAGTAACATTTATAAAGGGGTTCAGGGAAACCGGCAGGCCGGACTTGAGTCCTGGAGATGGGAAGTACAGTGCCTGCACTCTGAAGGAGGGGTGTTAATGTTGCAGTTTAAAAACTGTAGTGTAAAGCACCCTTCTGGCAAGACAGTGATGGAGTGAATGATGGTGAAAGTTTTTCTTTTTCGGGCCACCCTGCCTTGGTGGGAATCGGCCAGTGTGATAAAAAAAAATAATAATAACCTCCATACATAAAGAAAATTACCAAGAAACACCTAGCTGTCTTTAAGAGGAAATTGGATAACTTCCTCGTGTTATTTTCTGATAAGCTGAGCTGTGGTAATTACAGTGGGTGTTTACGGCTAGCACCAACAACCAGGCTGATCGGCAATCAACTAGGTCTGACCTGTGATCAAGCTGTGCGGGTGGTCACCCCTAGAATCGTCCTCGGGTAAATTTCAGGCAACGGAATAACCAGCCTGTGAATCACCAATTAATGTGAGTTGTAATAAGTACCCTCAGATCTATCCTGTAAATCACCAGTAAGTTTCATAATTGTATTATGTACCCTCAGATCTATCCTGTAAATCACCGGTAAGTTTCATAGTTGTATTATTTACCCTGAATCACCAGAATCTTACGTCTGTGAGCAAGAGCTAATTGGTGTATTGGCGACATTAGTGAAGAAAAAGATACGTTTCAGAACATCTTTTATTGAGACACCTTGACAGAGCATTAACGGAGTGAAACTTGTTTTGCAACGTATGTCTTTCCCTCAATTATATGAGCCAATCTGCTGTGCAGAAACACTGAATGAAGTCCAAGACTAGAGAATAATCAAATAACTATAAAAAGAATAATTCATAAGGCTCTATTACCTGTAACATAGAGGCCACGTGACAGATTTTTACTGGAATATTTTATCAAATATATATCTATATACAGGACATGTAGCGCCAGTGGTACCTTCTCTCAGCCCAGCACTCTCTGTAAGAGGAAGTCGCCAGGAGGATCAAGTGTACTCTAAGACTAACATTCGGAAAGCTCAACGAATGAGGAAAATATAAAAGCCTTGAAAAAACCTATTGCTCTATTACAAGAGGTAAAAAACAAGAGAGAAGGACCAATCAGGATGCTGTAAGCATTTCAGAGTTATTGTCATCAGCCAATGAGCGAAGTGAGGTTCAGATAGAAGTGGATCTTGTGTCACCAAGCTCTCTCCCTCTCTCCCTCAGGCCAGCACCTCCACCTTACATTATTTACACCACCTACTGTGTCTGTGTCTCTTGTGTCCCACCTGTGCTGCGCCGCTAAACTCTGCGCATGACTTTGTGAGCGATGAGTATTAGTAAAGAGCTCCGGTGCTCACATTAGTGGAGGTTACTTTGAGCTCTTGTTGTTACATTTGGTGAGTACTCTGTGTGTGTGTGTGTGTGTGTGTGTGTGTGTGTGTGTGTACTCACCTGATTGTACTCACCTAATTGTAGTTGCAGGGGTCGAGACTCAGCTCCTGGCCCCGTCTCTTCACTGACCGCTACTGGATCTTCCCTCTCCCTGCTCCATGAGCTTTATCATGTCTTAAAACTATGTATGGTTCCTGCCTCCACTACATCACTTGCTAGGCTATTCCACTTCCTAACAACTCTGTGACTGAAGAAATACTTCCTAACATCCCTTTGGCTCATCTGAGTCTTCAACTTCCAATTGTGACCCCTTGTTTCTGTGTCCCCTCTGTCCTCCAGTGTCGTCAGTCCGATTTCTCTTAACCTTTCTTTGTATGACATTCCCCTTAGCTCTGGAACTAACCTTGTCGCAAACCTTTGCACTTTCTCTTAATTTCTTGACGTGCTTGACTAGGTGTGGGTTCCAAACTGGTGTTGCGTACTGTGTGCGTGTGTGCGCGTGTGCGCGTGTGCGTGCGTGTGTGTGTGTGTGTGTGTGTGTGTGTGTGTGTGTGTGTGTGTGTGTGTGTGTGTGTGTGTGTGTGTGTGTGTGTGTGTGTGTGTGTGTGTGTGTGTTGTGTGTATGTGTGTGTTGTGTGTGTGTGTGTTGTGTGTGTGTGTGTGTGTGAGATCACCAATCCTCATTTTTTCTCCAGTCTCGATATTCTCCATTTATAACACGAGAATGCCTTATTCGATAGGCTTCAAATTTTCAACGCTGGTGTACTGTAACTAGGGCAAGATTCGTACAATTAATGGCATGCGCAAGTGTCCTATAACCAGATTTGCAGAACCCACTCCAAGATTGCTGGAATGGGTCTGCTGCTTGACTTCAACGTTCAACAAAGGTGCCTCCTACTTCGATGTCAACAGAGAGTGAAGATGAAGTATGTAGGTGCACGTCTACCAAATTAATAGTGTAAAATAGGGTGAAATTTTTATTCCCATTAAATCACATCAATATATTTGAAACTACATCTTCTGAATGGCTTCAGTATATAATTGTTGGCGCATTTTACGAACAGGATAGTCCTCATAAAGGTTAGTTTGTGTGCGGGCAAATTTGGCACTATACTAATCATTATTACAACCATAACTAAGCGCAAATGAAACTTTGCCTTAATATCAGGTCGTGTAAGTTTTACTGTATCAATATTTATTATTAAAGAGATTGATTTCCGTAAAATAACTGGATAATATCGCTTTCGACCATAAGTCACCGTACTTCATTTTATTGTGTTATCCTACGATAAATCTACATAATGTATTTATGTGTCCAGAGCGTAAATAAAGCTTATTTTAACTTTAAATGCAATTAGTCTTATTTATGGAAAAGCTTTGATTTTTGAGGTGCCTGTGTAGGTTCCAATTTGCCTTTTTTACACGGAAGAAATTGTCAAAGTTGAAATACTGGTTTTCATGCAATAATTTCTGAGTGCCTCATCCGATTGACCTCAGCCCATCAATACTGATAGTTTGATAATGCATCTTCTGAGTAGCTTCACACTTAGTATTCTCGTGTACCACGGGATATTTGTCTCTCTGAGTAGGTAGTAGGTTTTAATTAGTTTTGGACTATATATGTAAAAATTTCTCATTTCTGAGACACTTGTTCAACATTTGGTTATTTCTATTGTAAAATGTTTCGCTACCCAAAGGAAAATGAAACTGAGGTAATCCAAAGGGGTGCATCAAGTCTGGTGCCTGTCTTCAGGAGAACAATCTATGATAAGAAAAAAACTAGGCCTGCAACAATAAGAATGAAAAACAAAAGGGAATCTGATCACGACGTAAAAAGTAAACTGACGAGGCATCGACAGGGATGAAACAATAAGGTCACATAGTTGAAAATTACACACCAAAATGAGCCACAAGGATATAATATTTCTTCACCAAAATAGCAGTAATGAAGTGAAGTGAAGTGAACCATGGCACGGTGGAAGCGGACTCTGAACAGCGGTACAAAAAATACGTATAACAGGGCTACTATACGTCAGTGAAGGATAATTAAAAGGCGGGGCCCATCACAAATTAAAACGGGTAATTAAAACGAACATACAGAAGACAATAAAAGATAGAGTGCGTCCAGGAGGAATGTAACCAGAACGAGGGGAAGGCACTTGGGAACTGAGTGCAGACGTTACTTACAGAGATGTCAGGTAACAGTTGTACAGCGTCAGGGTGGTGAAGTGCAACAGACCAGACAACGATGTAACAGAAACTATAAATAACAAGTAACTTAAGAAAATAATATAATTCCAGATAAATACTGCCAAGTGAAAGCAAAGGGAACGCAAGTGACGAAGATTAAAATAAACAAACGCAACGGTTATATTTACACACCTCTATGACTACTTATATTACTACTACTACTTCCACTACTAGTACTACCACCACCATCACTACTATTACTAATATTACTACTACTGCTGCTGCTGTTGTTGCATATATAAAACCACTATGGGTGTTGCTACTACTGATTCAGAATTATTCTAGTAACGTGCATTTTTTCTGTGTATTAGATCTACGTAGACGTATGCGTGCGTATGTACATGTTATGAACATATGTATGTACAAAGAAATGTATGTGAGTGCGCAGGCGCGTGAGGAGTGTGAGGGAGTGGTGGAGGGCGCAGGTGAAACGTGATGCTTCACCATCCAGTTCCTACCTCACCAGCAACCTGTGGTACACCGCTACTTTACCCGCACAGGCTGCCTAAAACACTTACCAAGATTAACATTGGCATAAGTATGAGGTAATGTGATGGAGACGATGCTAGTAATTATTTTGAATGATGTATCTTCGAAATTACGTCTGCAAAAATGCAGGAAGGTCGAAGGTGTCAAGGTGAGCTTCGTGACAGACGATCCGGGAAGGAGACGCTGGCAGACCGACCACGAGCAGGGAATCAAATCGTCCTGCTAGCCAGCATTTGATTGGTTCTTGTGTTCGGCTGGAAGCAAGTGTTGTTTTGAGACGAGTTTTACTAATCATCATCAGTGCTGCCGCTGTGCTTGCCGCGGGCAAATCACGATTTACTAGACACTGCTTCTCCTTGACTACGTCGTGTCAATTAGCGACAATGATTCTCTTGATATATTTTTTACTGGCTGTCATCTTCGTGTTGTTTTTTGGAGCACTGTACGTTTTCTACTTCCGGAACAGAATCAACCTAGAACAGAATTAACTAGAAGTGACAGACAAGTAAGGTGCCGTGGCCGTGTGCGTTTTGTGTCCAGAATGACAGTTTTGTCTAAGCGACCACCCAACACTACCCCTGTACCTAGGACCATCATTGATACAACATCCAATCGTTAATCTTCCAAACTTCGTTTGACTAAGATATATTAATAAAATTAAAGCCTAAAGTTGATCCAAAGACGCATTTTTCAAGTTACAATTAATCTTATGCCCTTTTCACATGTCTCTCTCTCTCACACACACACACACACACACACACACACACACGCAAAAGGATTCCATGTCTTAGCTTTGCTTTTGTGAAACGTACTGGTAAGCTATAGATCTTATGGAAGACTTCATATTTACTGCATGAACAAATAATATGGAAATCTGAGGCAAAAAAATACACTATTTAGTCAAGGAAAACACCAACGTCTGCTGTAAACCTAATACCAGCATCCTGTTCCAGTGAAAGAAGACTCAGACATTTCAAAAGCAGACAAAACTTATCAATGACTGACGGACACACCGACAAGTTACACATAAGCTGAATTAAAATTCCAGTAGATGAGATACAGTAACCAACTATCAGAAGAGACCGACCATAAACTAAGACTGAGGGTCACTGAGAGAGAGATGCTTGGAGACAGCCAATAGCTCTTCACCACAGGCTGGGTAAGTTTATTAACAAAATAACTTTCTCTTCTGTGTGTCTCAGCAATAATTTACTATTAATAATGGAATAACCGACAAAATGTGAAGTAAATGGACACATGCGACAAAAGCTCCTGCAAAGCGAAACGTTGCCACAATAAAATGTCACATTACTTGCATCTGTGTCCATATACCTCTCAATAATTTACTAGTTACAAACAAATGTATGGAAGAGACACTTATGGAATGTTAGGTAAACTAACGTTGCACAATTCTCTCTTTTATACATTAATTTACTTGAAAATTAGACACATGTGCAACATCTGGTTATCTTTATTGTAGACGTTTCGCCATGCAGTGGCTTTATCAAAACAAATTCAAGGACATAACTGGAAGACAGAACTGTATACAAAAGATGAGGTAATCTGGCACTCAGTCTTCGAGTTGGTGAAGAGCACCGTAGTCATGAAGAATCTTCAATTAACGTTGAATCTTCAGATTCTTCAAGCTACGGTGTTCTTCACTAACTCCAAGGCTGAAGGACTGATTACCTCATCTTTTGTATATAGTTCTACTGTCTTCCAGTTGTGTCCTTCAACTTGTATTGATAAAACCACTGGATGGCGAAATGTCTACAATAAAGATACCCAGATGTTGCACATGTCTAATTTTCATCTTGTCGGTATTGTATACCATTCAAGTATAATAATTTACTTACTGAAACAGGCTTCCAGTGCTGAATGACCCTCAAGGGGTTTAAGCGATGTTCTCGAATATTACTAAACAGAATCCAGTCCAGTACAGAAAATTCTGCTTTGAATTATAACATCTTTCATGTTTATATTTGCTTAATTTACTCAGTAAATATTTCATGAATAATTAGCATTTCGTAAGGAAGGGTATTGCAATTTAAAAACTAGAATATAGTGAATTTTGTGTTAATTGATGTTAGGGGGTAAATTTGGATTATAGCTATAATGTCAACAGCAAGGTGCTCCCTGCGTCAAGAACCACAAATGTGTGGTAAGGTGAAGAAACTTTTTTTTGTAAATAGGCTTGAACTGATTTGACTAGTAATTTATATGCCAAGTTTCAGACAAATCGGTCAATTCGTACTTTGGGTAATGCTACTATTTATACAGTCCAGGTACTGGTCACACTCACCTTCATGTATCTACCTGCAACCTTTTTTCACACATGTTGTATACATAGCTAGAAGGATATATACACCAAGAGGAGTATATTTCTCAGTGTAAAACACAGGATTTTCTTTAATTCTTATCTTCAGCCTTACTGACCCACGTACAGTTGCTAAGTTTCAAATCTAACAAACTTTATGAACTATCTATACATTAAATTATTTATATAAGAACATTTATAAAAGTTTGAAATAGTAAAACAAATAAGAGTTGTAACTGGAACAGCTGAGTGATAGTAATGCTCATCAAGTAGGTATCTTAATATTCCAGTTTAGTTTAGAGCTACTGACTGCACATTTCTCGTTATAAATGTACACTAACATGAAAAATACAAGAAAACAGCATTTTTAGTATAATTTCTTTCACTACACCTCTGCAGATAACTTAATCGTGTCTTTACGCTTCAGGATACGAGTTTTACAAGGTTCCAGTATGATATCTTTTATTACCAGAGCAAAATAAGGGTATACATTTATCCTTCGCGACCTGCACAATATAGTGTTGGAAAAACTTTATTCTTTAAATTTCAAGGTCTAGACCTGATTATGATGCACCACCTCCCACAAGAGTCCACTGACACCCACGAGACTCTTATGCATCTCGCTAGCCAGAAAACTGGAATCTGGTTGTTAAACAATCTTTCAGTTATCAGACATGCACTCTAAGCACTATGAAGCCTGCTTCATGTTGTTCATTAATGCTCATATTACAATTTTTAAAGCAATTCCGTGATGTAACAGCATAAGCAGATGACACATTCCTGCTTAGTGGACAACGCTGTTGTGGATTATTCTTGTGCAGATTTTCATTTAAGTATTTATTTGTGAGTGAACAGTTAATGTGATTTTGTGTGTTGTTGTAGAGGTTACACACAATCAAGACAAATATTAATGGACCGCAGAAATCAACCGCCAAGGCTGGGAATATGAGCATGTTGGCAACTGTGTGCTAAGATCTTTATTATCAGTGTGGCTTCTTGTCACGTAATTAAGTGCATGTAACATTTTGCGTAACCAATTTATACGTACAGCGTTACAGATATGAAACTTGTATTGGTTAATAAAGGTAAACTGAATAAGGTTAACATAAATATTCTTGAGGTATATATAATTATTTATTACTCTTTTATGAACGCTTAATATTTTTATATGACGATGTATGAAATATTGCCCTCTTGCTGTTGTAATTTTGATATTTATTTAGACGGCAAACCAGTTAATTATTACATAATATGGAGTAACAAATAGGTAGCTAAAATCACTATGTGGAAAAGGACACTTGCGTACAGTTCAAGATATTAAGGGAAACGTTTCGCCACGAGTGGCTTCATCAGTCCTAATACAGAGTAGCATGATGAAATTAAGACACGTGCAGTATGTTTATGTTTATGTAGGTTTGGGTCCTGGCCCGGGTCTTCTCCATGTGGTGACCCGGCAGTGGCTTCTGAAGTGTCGGAATTGGTACAAGTGATGTACCGTTTACAGCCCTACGACAGGGGCACAGTGAGCATTCATGTCAAGGGAAGTACAGTTTACAGTCCTATGGAAGGGGCAGCCCAATGACTAGGGCACGGTGAGTCTTCTGCAGGTCAAGTGGAGTACCACTTACAACCCTATGGCGGGGGCAGCCGTATGACAAGCAAAAGTGAGGTGAGGTGGGAAGTACGTCAAATGGCAGAAAATGTTGGACAGATATATCAGCGAGAGAGATTGGATTTCAGCAGGACGTGTCTAGCATGAGCCAGTAGCCTGCAGCACAGCTTCTCCAATCTCACACTGTGTTCACGTAACGGGGGATCCTAATACAGATAACAATCTTTTAGTCAAAATTTGAAAGCTTCCACACTTCATGGAATAGTGTCAATTGTGCTAATTAAGGCAGCTTCCGGCAACTTTCGCCTCTGTCAGTCATTTCATGGATGACTAGTTGTGCTTCGTTAAACTTAATATGTCCCCACATTTATTTCTGCGTTTCACACAGGCGTTTTTTTGGTCATCCTGTCTGCAGGCGTTTGTGTTTCAGAAGTCTGATACTTAATGACCTAGAAGTTTCTTCCACATACTTTTTGTCACATCCACCACACGGAATTATGTATACCCCTGCGCTGGTCGAAGGTTCATTCTTGGGTTTCTGCACCAAGCCTTTAATTAAAGAGGAAAAGTTGGTGGGTTTGGTTGTTAAACAGCTTGGCCAAATTAGACGCCACATTGTTGACCGACAAAACGGTGAATCTGGTGGTTACTTAAGCTGATAAGTTGTTCACTCCGTAGAATATTTTTGTAGTCCGTTTCCACACTATATGGGGGAACTGTAGTGAACTGAAAGCACGAGTGACGTACGTGCATTCACCCTCTAAATATTGGGGACAAGCTTCCTCTTCCAGTGTGTCTGTATCACCATACCATTTAGAACCTGAAATTACTATGTTTAGGGATGTGGGTTACTCACAAAATGAAATCGTTATCAAGTCTGCACGAACTGGCTTTTAACTAGATGACTCTTGCCGTTTATTGCAATATCCCACTACAAAAGGAGAAAATCATTAACAGATTTTTCATATATCCTGAGTATGAATTAATAGAAATATAAAGGTCGGTAATATCAATCTTACAGGCGGCAGCCTCAGCTAGCAGTGACGTCACATACATGCAGGAGAACTGTACGAATTAATAATCTAATTATTTTTATTTAGATAAAACACGGCTTCTAAAAGACCCTATACAATGAAATGAAAGAAAATGAACGAAATTCATTCGATTTCAGCTGAAAAAGTCGTTGGTACAATATTATTGCATTCACAATAATCAATGCTGAACCTGTAGGGGCAACACAGCACTTGAGAAACGCGATACAATCAGTTTTAAAGAAATACCAAGCGCAAACATTCTTTGCAAATAAAACGTTATGCTTTTATTTTGGTTTTACAAACCGCAACTTAATCGAGATTTAATATACTGTATATGGTGGCCCGGTAGCCTGGTGGCTAAAGCTCCCGCTTCACACACGGAGGGCCCGGGTTCGATTCCCGGCGGGTGGAAATATTTCGACACGTTTCCTTACACCTGTTGTCCTGTTCACCTAGCAGCAAATAGGTACCTGGGTGTTAGTCGACTGGTGTGGGTCGCATCCTGGGGGACAAGATTAAGGACCCCAATGGAAATAAGTTAGACAGTCCTCGATGACGCACTGACTTTCTTGGGTTATCCTGGGTGGCTAACCCTCCGGGGTTAAAAATCCGAACGAAATCTTATCTTATCTTATCTTATGCACTCCATGTAACAATAAATTAAGTCTGACTCCCCATACGTAAATTCATACAATTTTTAAAGCGTACTCAAGTCAACAAATGGCTAACTAACACTTGTCTTACCTTACTGTCAACAGAGAATTCTCGGCGCGTTCTCCTATACAATAATTTATTTCTCAGATTTACTTAAATATTATAAATGCGCATAAATTACTCAAATCTGGTAATTATGCATACTTTAACCAATAAATAACGAGAGCATGGGTCAAATATAGACATCAGTTCGTATTTAAGACAAATTCACATTGCTGCAAAATATTTACTAAGTCGAGAGCACAGGATGAATTGCACTACGAGGCTTCGTCTCATGTTTCATAGGCAGACTGAAGAAAAACATACATATATATACATTTATAAGCATTAAGGTAACAGTAAACAGGTGATATCACATTATGCACATTATCAAGGACCTTGATAATGTGCATATTGAATTTCCAGGTGCTTTCGTGATTTCTCACGAAAGAGCTTTTTTTCATAGTGGTTGTTTTGCATATTGTGATATCGCCTGTTTACTTTGATCTTATCGCATATATATATATATATATATATATATATATATATATATATATATATATATATATATATATATATATATATATATATATATATATATATATATATATATATATATATATATATATATATATATATATATATATATATATATTATATATATATATATATATATATATATATATATATATATATATATATATATATATATATATATATATATATATATATATATATATGGTATAAAATACCGACAGGTTGTTAGGTAAGACACATATGCAACAGTTAGGTATCTTTATTTTGAAACGTTTCGCCTACACAGTATATATATATATAATATATATATATATATATATATATTATATATATATATATATATATATATATATATATATATATATATATATATATATATATATATATATATATACACACACACATTGGAACCTCTGGTCACGACCATAATTCGTTCCAAAATTGCGACCCGATTTGGTCGTGACCCGAACCTAATTTCCCCATTGGATTGTATGTAAATACGATTAATCCGTTCCAGAACCCTTCGAACTGTATGTATATATTTTTTTAAGATTTTTAGGCACAAAAATAGTTAATTATACCACAGAATGCACAGTGTAACAGTAAACTTAATGTAAAAACCTTGAATAACACCGAGAAAACCTTGAACAACAGAGAAAACTAACATTGCATGAGTCCGTTAAAGACCCCTATAAACCGTTTGCTGTAAACAGTTTTTTTTTTAAGAGTTTCAAGGACAGAAAAAAATAATCAAAGTTTGAAAAATCCTTAATTATACAAAATAATGCGCAGTTTAATAAAGAAAAAACCTTAAATAGCAGAGAAAAAACATACCGTAAACAACCAAGAAAACATGATGAATTAAAAAACACACGAAATACAACACAAGGAGTTCACAGTGAATGAGCTCGTGTCTGGCCGAGACCGACTACAAGGCGATGGTCTTTGTTAGGTGTCCATAAACAACAGGAAGTGGGAAAAATTGGCGTGTGGAAAAAAAAAATAGTGCAGACTGTGAAAATTGGCGCGGCTGTGCTTGTTCGGTACCCGATTATGTCTTTCGTGACTAGATGCAAAAATTTGGCGAATTTTTTGGTCGTGAGCCGATTTGTTCGTGTTTGGAAGCGTTCGTGACCAGAGGTTTCACTTCGCTGAGTCACATCATGAAAAAGACCCTAGCTGCAACTACACCGGCGAATTAAATCAAATCCTAGTTACACATAACATATATTGTTAACAGAGGAGGATGTTCAAGCAGCTGATAATGGTCCAATACCACACATATTGGTCACAGCAGATATTGGTAACAAGAATGAATAATGGGCACATACAAGAGACAATGGTAACTGAATTGGGAATAGTCATACTAAACAGATAAATCGTACCAACCAGACGTTGGTCACGAAATCAAGATATGTTCATATATAACTGATATTGGTCATACAATAAGAGACATGATCTAACAAAAGTATTGGTCATACAAACTAGTAGTAATCGTTCAAAAGACAAGAAAATTAGGATCAAAACCTACAGTAGAAGGAATTGTGTATGAAACGCTGAAAGTTCAATCCTTTGTAAGGGACACCTAACTCTTCTGACCTCTCAGACGAAGCTGGAGACCCAGCTGTAGCGCCCTATAATAATAGCAGCAGCAGCAGCAGCAGCAGCAGCAGCAGCAGCAGCAGCAGCAGCAGCAGCAGCAGCAGCAGCAGCAGCAGCAGTAGTAGTAGTAGTAGTAGTAGTAGTAGTAGTAGTAGTAGTAGTAGTAGTAGTAGTAGTAGTAGTAGTAGTAGTAGTAGTAGTAATAAAAGATACACCAATATTAGAGCCCAATATTAGAGCCCAATATTAGAGCCCACAGCATGCGTACGTTATAAGATACTGGTCAGGAGAAATATTAACTACGGCTTACTGTATGACTTGTATAACTGATATAGACAGATCCTACAGACTTTCTAGTTTCGTCGATATATCACACAGAACGGAGAGCATTTCCAGTACTGGTAGAGGTTAGTCTTGAGATATAATTTGATGATATTCTTTTTACAACAGAAGACGCACGGTTGACGAATACCTTGTTGAAAACTGTTACAACAGAAGACGCCCAGCTGGTATCCACAATGCTGAAACAGAGATATAAATTAATGCTGAATGACCCTTATCTAAATGATGAATGATCCTTACATAAGTTTGACCTTTATCTAAATTAATGATGATGAATGACTCTTACATTAGTAAATGATGCTGAATGACTCTTGCCCAAGTTGATGATCCATTACAGTTTACCTGGAGAGAGTTCCGGAGGTCAACGCCCCCGCGGCCCGGTCTGTGACCAGGCCTCCTGGTGGATCAGAGCCTGATCAACCAGGCTGTTGCTGCTGGCTGCACGCAAACCAACGTACGAGCCACAGCCCGGCTGGTCAGGAACCGAGTTGCATCTAGTATTGAAATGATAACTGTTACTATGACAGTGGGGAAAAACTGTAAATTGTGAGGAACTGTTATCTATGATAGGAATGGGGAAGAGGAACCGGTACCTATGGCAGAAGGGGAAGAAGCTGTTACCTATGGTAGGAGTAGGGAGAAGCCTCAAAGCTATTACTTATGGTACGAGGGAGTAGATGATGTTACCAAGTACTTGGTTGTTCTGGAACCTGCGTCCTTCCTGTGGAAAATTTTGGATTTTCCTAAATTCAGCATATATAAATTTGAATAATACAGTGTGTAATAAAATATGATGCTGATTTGACCCTTTCGAAAAATTTCGAGTGAGGGGGATGTAGAACAGCCAGTAGTGACGCCAGAGAGGAGACGCCACTTGTAATTTGTGGGCAATGGTTGTCGTGGAAAATTCAGCTAATAATCGAGCGTCTTCGTAGCTAAATTGTGGTTTTTCGGCTTGAAATTGTAATAGGAACCTGTGTTAATGTTCCCATGCTGAAGAACTGGGACAGGAAATTTGTGGGACCACAAGAATTACATGTGGATGACGGAAGATAAGGGATACGACCATCACTCACAGGGAAGTGCCCCGTTAGTCCTTGCATTTAGATCTCGCTGGCCAGTGTAGGGTCAAGGTGTCAGGCCAGTGTTGTGATGTCATCCATCTACAGTAATTAAATAGTAAGTGGTAATATAAATTTCTCTTGTGTACCCAGAAAGCCTAATCTTATACAAATCCAAAATTTTAATTTACCCGAGCAGCTGGTTTTAATATTGCAATTATTAATTTAATGTCAGGTCTAGCTTTTAGTGAGAGTGGTGAAGAAGTGGGCATCGAGGGAGTTAGATTTCGGCGACCTACTGTGACTTAAGTCCCACTTATCTCTCCCAGATTAATTGCTCGGGTAATACCCTGTAAACCTCATGCGGGTAATTTACTCGCATAATAATAATTCACAAAACTTCTGTCACTATTATCGGCAGTACGCCAATCGAATCCAACCTTTAATGAAGCAATAGTATAAAGAATTAGGCAATAAAGAAAAAAAAATCACTTGTGTTTGTGCAAGTATAAAATATTTAAATATTAGAGTGCATAGCTTCATTAATGTTTGATTTGTGTTTGTGCAGGAATGGACTCGAGGTCGGGGCGGTGCTGGGTGTGCGACGCTACGGGCAGACTCTGGTGCTCTGCCTGCAGATTTGCTCTCTATTGCTCCCTCGCTTGCCAGAAGAAAGATCGACTCAGACACCTGGTCAGTACCACCATTCACTACTAACATTCATACACAATACATCAGACTCAAAACACCTGGTTAGTACCAACAACATTCTGTATGTCAGTGCTCGTCTATAGCCTACTGCAGTGCTCATCTTTTCTTGTTTTTAATCAATAGCTTTGAAAAATGATTTGACTGATGTGAGAATGTTTGGGTTTGCGAAGAGCCTGCATAGCATAGGCTAGTAGGCTTGCTGCATCCTACATTGCAATGCTTTTTCTACCAACCACACTGAGTTCATTTCACTATTACGCCCAAATTGGAGAGGAAACTTGAGATATTTCAGTTCATAATTGACCATTATCAAGTTACGACAAGGTTAACACAGTTGTTCTGGCCACGGTATTGTAACTTGTATTCTTTATAATTAATACATTAATTACTAAGGCAAGTTTTTTAATACGGTGTAGGTGGTTTCAGTAAACTTAGATTTTTCACTTTAGTAAACGTAAGAAATTAAGTGACCTGCCACTCAGTGGTGGAGTATTCGGTTCGTAAAAAGATCAGAGTTAGATTTCCTGACTGAGGGACGCATGAGTTTCTCCTTTCACATGCTGCCCCGTTCACCTAGTGGTAAATATCTATCAAGGTGTTGTGCAGCCATTGTGGGTAACGTCAAAGTGGCAGTATTCCTTTAATAAGTCTGGGCTTGGTAATCAGCTGAGGTAGGGTAACAACTATGAGCCAATAAATTAAGCTGTGTAACTAAACTGTTTTTAATAAGATGAGTTGCACTCTCAAACTCGCCAGTCTGAGAGGCATTTCGCTCCCATGTGCCTTGCTATACAGCGTTGTAATACATTGATCGTAGTGTAGGGGTGTAGTTGTGAAGTATCGTAGTGATGCAGGAGTACAGTTGTGTAAGTACTGTCGTGGTGCAGTACAGTTGTGTAAGTACTGTCGTGGTGCAGTACAGATATGTAAGTACTGTCGTGGTGCAGGGGTACAGTTGTGGAAGTACCGTCGTGGTGCAGGGGTATAGTTGTGTAAGTACCGTCGTGGTGCAGGGGTATAGTTGTGAAGTACCGTCGTGATGCAGGAGTACAGTTGTGAAGTACCGTCGTGATGCAGGGGTACATTTGTGAAAGTGCCGTCGTGGTGCAGGGGTACAGCTGTAAAAGTACCGTCGTGATGCAGGGGTACAGTTGTTGAAGTACCGTCGTGGTGCAAGGGTACATTTGTGGAAATGCCGTCGTGGTGCAGGGGGTACAGTAGTGGAAGTACCGTCGTGATGCAGGGGTACATTTGTGGAAGTACCGTCGTGGTGCAGGGGTACAGCTGTGAAAATACCGTCGTGGTGCAGGGGTACATTTGTGGAAGTACCGTCGTGGTGCAGGGGTACATTTGTGGAAGTGCCATCGTGGTGCAGGGATACATTTGTGGCAGTACCGTCGTGGTGCAGGGGTACATTTGTGGAAGTACCGTCGTGGTGCAGGGGTACAGCTGTGAAAGTACCGTCGTGGTGCAGGGGTACATTTGTGGAAGTACCATCGTGGTGCAGGGGTACATTTGTGGAAGTACAGTCGTGATGCAGGGGTACATTTGTGGAAGTACTGTCGTGATGCAGGGGTACATTTGTGGAAGTACCGTCGTGGTGCAGGGGTACAGTAGTGGAAGTACCCTCCTGATACAGGGGTACATTTGTGTAAGTGCCGTCGTGGTACAGGGGTACAGTAGTGGAAGTACCGTCGTGGTGCAGGGGTACAGTAGTGGAAGTACCGTCGTGGTGCAGGGGTACAGTAGTGGAAGTACCGTCGTGATGCAGGGGTACATTTGTGGAAGTACCGTCGTGGGCGCAAAAGGGTTTCTTTTGTGGAAGTACCGTCGTGATACAGGGGTACAGTAGTGGAAGTACTGTCGTGGTGCAGAGGTACATTTGTGGGAGTACCGTCGTGATGCAGGGGTACATTTGTGGAAGTACCGTCGTGATGCAGGGGTACATTTGTGGAAGTACCGTCGTGATGCAGGGGTACATTTGTGGAAGTACCGTCGTGATGCTGGGGTACATTTGTGGAAGTACCGTCGTGATGCTGGGGTACATTTGTGGAAGTACCGTCGTGACGCAAGGGTACTTTTGTGGAAGTACCGTCGTGATACAGGGGTACAGTAGTGGAAGTACTGTCGTGGTGCAGAGGTACATTTGTGGGAGTACCGTCGTGATGCAGGGGTACATTTGTGGAAGTACCGTCGTGATGCTGGGGTACATTTGTGGAAGTACCGTCGTGATGCTGGGGTACATTTGTGGAAGTGCCGTCGTGTTGCAGGGGTACAGTAGTAAAATACAGTCGTGATGCAGGGGTACAGTAGTGGAAGTACCGTCGTGATGCAGGGGTACAGTAGTGGAAATACCGTCGTGATGCAGGGGTACAGTAGTGGAAGTACCGTGGTGATGCAGGGGTACGTAGTGGAAGTACCTTCGTGATGCAGGGGTACATTTGTGGGAGTACCGTCGTGATGCAGGGGTACATTTGTGGGAGTACCGTCGTGATGCTGGGGTACATTTGTGGAAGTACCGTCGTGATACGGGGGTACAGTAGTGGAAGTACCGTCCTGGTGCAGGGGTACATATGTGGGAGTACCGTCGTGATGCAGGGGTACATTTGTGAAAGTACCGTCGTGATGCTGGGGTACATTTGTGGAAGTACCGTCGTGATGGAGGGGTACAGTAGTGGAAGTACCGTCGTGATGCAGGGGTACAGTAGTGGAAATACCGTCGTGATGCAGGGGTACAGTAGTGGAAGTACCGTGGTGATGCAGGGGTACAGTAGTTGAAGTACCGTCGTGATGCAGGGGTACAGTAGTGGAAGTGCCGTCGTGATGCAGGGATACAGTAGTGGCAGTACCGTCGTGATGCAGGGGTACAGTAGTGGAAGTACCGTCGTGTTGCAGGGGTATAGTAGTGGAAGTACCGTGGTGATGCAGGGGTACAGTAGTGGAAGTACCGTAGTGATGCAGGGATACAGTAGTGGAAGTACCGTCGTGTTGCAGGGGTACAGTAGTGGAAGTACCGTCGTGATGCAGGGGTACAGTAGCGGAGGTACCGTCGTGATGCAGGGGTACATTTGTGGCAGTACCGTCGTGTTGCAGGGGTACAGTAGTGGAAGTACCGTTGTGATGCAGGGGTACAGTAGTAGAAGTACCGTCGTGATGCAGGGGTACAGTAGTGGCAGCACCGTCGTGGTGCAGGGGTACAGTAGTGGAAGTACCGTCGTGATGCAGGGGTGCAGTAGTGGAAGTACCATCGTGATGCAGGGGTACAGTAGTGGAAGTACCGTCGTGATGCCGGGGTGCAGTAGTGGAAGTACCGTCGTGATGCAGGGGTACATTTGTGGCAGTACCGTCGTGGTGCAGGGGTACATTTGTGAAAGTACCGTCGTGATGCTGGGGTACATTTGTGGAAGTACCGTCGTGATGGAGGGGTACAGTAGTGGAAGTACCGTCGTGATGCAGGGGTACAGTAGTGGAAATACCGTCGTGATGCAGGGGTACAGTAGTGGAAGTACCGTGGTGATGCAGGGGTACAGTTTGTTGGGAAATACCGTCGTGATGCAGGGGTTTCAGTAGTGGAAGTGCCGTCGTGATGCAGGGATACAGTAGTGGCAGTTCCGTCGTGATGCAGGGGGGACCCGTAGTGGAAAGTACCGTCGTGTTGCAGGGGTACAGTAGTGGAAGTACCGTGGTGATGCAGGGGTACAGTAGTGGAAGTACCGTAGTGATGCAGGGATACAGTAGTGGAAGTACCGTCGTGTTGCAGGGGTACAGTAGTGGAAGTACCGTCGTGATGCAGGGGTACAGTAGCGGAGGTACCGTCGTGATGCAGGGGTACATTTGTGGCAGTACCGTCGTGTTGCAGGGGTACAGTAGTGGAAGTACCGTTGTGATGCAGGGGTACAGTAGTAGAAGTACCGTCGTGATGCAGGGGTACAGTAGTGGCAGCACCGTCGTGGTGCAGGGGTACAGTAGTGGAAGTACCGTCGTGATGCAGGGGTGCAGTAGTGGAAGTACCATCGTGATGCAGGGGTACAGTAGTGGAAGTACCGTCGTGATGCCGGGGTGCAGTAGTGGAAGTACCGTCGTGATGCAGGGGTACATTTGTGGCAGTACCGTCGTGGTGCAGGGGTACAGTAGTGGAAGTACCGTCGTGATGCAGGGGTACATGTGTGGCAGTACCGTCGTGGTGCAGGGGTACAGCAGTAGAAGTACAGTCGTAATGCAGGGGTACAGTAGTGGCAGCACCGTCGTGGTGCAAGGGTACAGTTGTAGGAATACCATCACACACACACATCCGTCCGCCAGCCCAACACACTTCTCATAATATTTCTTTAATTTTATTTTCGTGTTTCTTTGTATGAGAATATATTCACAGTGAAGTGCCAAACCTGTAGGGGGTCATACAGAGCCTGGGGAACTAGAGGTAATTTGCTTTGATCCGGGAAAGGGGAGTGTGGGTTCAAATCCTTGGATCAAGAGCCTTTCACCGGCTTAAGGTTCCCTTGCTTTTATAAAGGGTGGAAGAGAATAAAGATGATAGGCTTAACATCAGTCGTCACGGAGCTGCTGGAGCTTAGTAGCCGAGCTTAACAGACTAAGCTGTCAGGCTTCAGTCTTTCAAGCTGCAGGTAACCTAAGGAATAATCATACAGGCCTTTCTTGCATGCATAGAATATGATTATTCTTACAATCATGGGGGAGCGCTAACCTCGTAGGATTATACAGAGCTTGTGGAGCTGTGATGGAAGGTATTCAGGCTTAATTCAGGGAACTAGAGCCCAGATCCAGTTCCCTAGATCAAGAGCCCCTCACCAGCGTCGAGAAACCTCCCTTGAGGGGCATTGAATATAAAGCAGAAAATTTAACTTGGAAATCACTTACAATACAAAAAATATATACTTCTATCTGTTGCAAAAATTGAAATATACAGGTTTTTAGATTTTTTTTTCAGAACTTTACATTTAAAAGTAAACAAACAAGTGTATTTATATTGTTGTAATGACTGAGAAGAGGTTAACTTGTAGATAACATACAGCACCAGGAGAATGGCAGGCAATCAGGTTTACTCCAATAAAAGGGATAGTAGCATTAATTCCTTGAATCAAGAGCCCCTCATCAGCATCGAGACACCCCACTCTAGGTGGGTGGGTGTTGAGAAGTAACAACTAGGAGCACCTAACACTCAGTGTTGCTGCTTTCATCTTTCCTCTCTTCCTATCTCCAAGTAGCCCATGTCACGATCTTTTTTTTTTTTTTACTATTCACAAGCCGCTGTTATCCTGTCGTAGGGGAAGCGGTATACCTGTAGGCAATGGTGGACCTATATTTTTTGGGACTTGAAGTTTGAACTGTTATGGGGCCCCTTTGCAACCAGCAACGGCTAACCTACACGATACTTTAATAACCTTTTGATTTTGATTTTAAGTATTATTTTGTACTAAATTACACTATATTATTAATATTTTTAAAAACCCTTCTCATACAGTAATATTGATTAGAGTGGCTTCTGGGGCCCCTCCGGGATTAGGGACCCTGAAGCTTAAACTTCATTAGTTTCATAGTAGATCTGTCCCTACCTGTAGGGGTCATTATTATTATTATTATAATCATAACCAAGAGCTAAACCCGTAAGTCATACAGCGTGCATGTTGAAAAGACATACTGATAAATAAGACACATGTCTTACACCAGTTTCATATTCAGGAATGTTTCTTATTGAAACTGGGCAGTGTATCTCTCACCACCAGTCAAGAAGACTTCAGTCCTTTATGGGGATTAAAATAAACTCTCGGCATTTACAGTGAGAGAAACACAACTCTCGGTGTATATAACCTTTTCTAGGTCCTTGGATTATTATCATGGGGAGCGATGAACCCGCAGGGATTATGTAGCGCTTGTGGGGGGGGGGATGTAAGGCATTCCGGCTTAATTCAGGGAATTGGAGCACATATCCAGTTCCTAGGTCAAGAGCCCCTCACCAACATCAAGGAACCTAGTTCCTTGGAATTACCTGTTTGACGCTATAGGAGCAGTGCTATGCTCCTGGTCCTGTCGTCATTTAACTTGTTTATTCTATAATTGTTTAAATTTCCAGTGGTTATAGCGCTTGCTAATTCCTCTCGCAATTTATTACCATTCTTCTGCGACACTGTTTGTAAAAAAGAAATTCCCAATATTCCTTCTACTCCATTTTTTTTTCAATTTATATGTGGCTTCTTATCCTTGTTAGAAGAATTAAAAACTTTTTATCTATTTTTTTCACATTCTTTTATAACCTTCAGTGATATCGTATCACTTTTCTTCCTACCAGCCAGCGTAGTCATTATTTTTTTCAACATTTCATCATAATTCATATTTTTTTTTCGCTTTGGGATCTATTTCACAGCTCTTTGGTCTTTTTCTACAAGATCCACAATATTTTAATGTGGACACCACACAGCCTAATACAAGTTGTAAACGACTTTTTCAATATCTCTCCATCCATATATTTGAAAGGTATTTAATAGTTAGCTAGTGTAGCACATGATTTTTTCAGTTACACTTATATGATCTGGTGAGAATTAGGTGTTATTAATAATATCTTCTAGATGCTTTTTGTGTACTAGGACTCGTTGTTTTGGGGCGGGAGGATTGATCCGTGGACGTCTGTGATGAGATACCCGACCCTCACCGCTAAGCTGTGGCTGGCTGTTAGCGGATGGAGGATCAAGCCTCCGCCACTTCTTACACTGAATGATCTACACGAGTTTAGCACTTCGCATAATTAAATTAACTTCATTGTGTACCAGGACGAGTGTGTGAACAGCAGCAGGAGGCGTGTGTGTTGCAACTACTGCGGGAGGGAAGAAGCCCTGGGAGGTGTGCCCTGCCCTGAGTGTGTCGTCGCCACTTACTGCACAGACTCCTGCAGGAAGATCGACGCAAAAAACCACAGGTCTGTCTGTCTCCAAGCCAAACAAAAGGTGAGAGTCAACTCAACCTGATATACTAACAAACGTAGTGGTCTAGTCATTTGTTATCAGGCATAATGTTATAATTAGGCTGGTAAAGAGGGCTCTAGTTTGTGCCACATGTGTAGCATAACAGTTTTACATATTACAGTATATAGTTATAATGTAACAGAGAAAATAAGATTTTAGAGTACCTTGATTATTTTTCAAGGCCAGGGAAAATAACAGAGTAATTCTGCAAGCTTGTGGGTAGGCTTAGTCACTCAGGAATAATTGAGATATTTCGTATAAGCTGAGAAGCTTTATAGCATGTCTTAATGTTACAATGAGGCAATTGAGAGTTGTCCTCGTAGCAACAAGAAGTGTAGCTCATGTGGTCGAGTCAGCAGCCTTGTGCTCAGTCCATCCTCCAACTTACAATGACACTGTGGGACTTGAATATGTCTCGAGCAGACTAACGTAGGTTAGCCGCCAGCTTACGACATACAGTGAGCTCGCTATAGCTAGTCAGCCCTATTTGGAGCTCATGTTGCTGTGCTAGGATGGCTCACTCATGTTGCTGTGCTAGGATGGCACACTCATGTTGCTGTGCTAGGATGGGTCACTCATGTTGCTGTGCTAGGATGGCACACTCATGTTGCTGTGCTAGGATGGCACACTCATGTTGATGTGCTAGGATGGCACACTCACATATGTTGCTGTGCTAGGATGGCACACTCACATGTTGCTGTGCTAGGATGGCGCACTCAAGTTGCTGTGCTAGGATGGCACACTCATGTTGCTGTGCTAGGAGGGCACACTCATGTTGCTGTGCTAGGATGGCACACTCATGTTGCTGTGCTAGGATGGCACACTCATGTTGCTGTGCTAGGATGGCACACTTATGTTGCTGTGCTAGGATGGCACACTCATGTTGCTGTGCTAGGATGGCACACTCATGTTGCTGTGCTAGGA